GGACTAAAGAGACCCTATAGATCCTGGTGACCTTTGTGATGAGGGACTGAAGAGACCCTATAGATCCTGGTGACCTTTGTGATGAGGGACTAAAGAGACCCTATAGATCCTGGTGACCTTTGTGATGAGGGACTAAAGAGACCCTATAGATCCTGGTGACCTTTGTGATGAGGGACTGAAGAGACCCTATAGATCCTGGTGACCTTTGTGATGAGGGACTGAAGAGACCCTATAGATCCTGGTGACCTTTGTGATGAGGGACTAAAGAGACCCTATAGGTCCTGGTGACCTTTGTGATAAGGGACTAAAGAGACCCTATAGATGCTGGTGACCTTTGTGATGAGGGACTAAAGAGACCCTATAGATCCTGGTGACCTTTGTGATAAGGGACTTCTGCAGGCATTGATAAGGTGAGGCAGTGTTGGCTCCATCATCTGAAGATGTTGTTTTCCCTCTAGCCCTGGGGCTGAGTGCTCTGGGTTGTCTCCTAATTCAAATGGGGTTTGTATTTTAACCCCATCTCCTCTCCAGAGCTTTCCTGAGTTTCCTGTTCCCAAGATGGGCTCCTTACTTTGCAAAATGTCATTCTAACCATGCTGGCTGTGCTGGATTTATCTTGATTCCTGAATGTGGACAACTGCTCCTTGCCCTTGGAAGAAACTCTCAGTGCCCTGGGTGGTGTTATCACTGATCCAGTCACAGAAAACTGGGCTGGAAAAAAAGTTTAAAGAGCTTTTTACATTTCCCAGCACCATTTTTCTGTAACATCTAGATGCCTTAAAGACCACAGGGCATTTGGCTATTTGGTTTCATCTGAGAGGCTGGTTTTCTTTAAGATGTGTGAACCTAAAGAGTCGTGTGAGCTTGGCTGTTTCCTGACACCTATTTTCAATCAGAAAAGGCAATTTCAGAGCAATTTTGGTGGCTTGGAGCTCTTGGCTTTTACTGAAAGCCCATGAACATGAAGTTCCCATCTTGTCTGAGAGTCTTTGAAAATCTTACTCATCATCATCATCATCCTCATCTGTCCAGAGGAGGCCCCGGAGATGCTGGGAGGGCTGGAGCAGCTCTGGAGCCAGGCTGGGAGAGTTGAGGTGTTCAGCCTGGAGAAGAGAAGGCTCCAGGGAGACCTGAGAGCAGCTTCCGGTGCCTGAAGGGGCTCCAGGAAAGCTGGGGAGGGGCTTGGGACAAGGGCAGGGAGGGATGGGAGCAGGGGGAAGGGTTTCCAGCTGGCAGAGGGAGCTGGAGCTGAGATGGGAGGGAGAAATTCTGTGCTGTGAGGGTGGGGAGAGCCTGGCCCAGGTTGCCCAGAGAAGCTGTGGCTGCCCCATCCCTGGGGGTGTTGAAGGGCAGGTTGGATGGGGCTTGGAGCAGCCTGGGCTGCTGGGAGGTGTCCCTGCCCATGCCGGGGGTTGGAACTAAATGATCTTTGAGGTCCCTTCCAACTCAAACCAGCCTATGATTCTATGATCTACTATTAAGAATTTGAGAATAGTTTGTGTGTGTGTCTGTGTGTGCAGGATGTGGGAAACCTCTCATATTATTGACATTATGACTGACATTATTGTTGTTATTATTATTATTAATTATTATAATTGACATTATGACTGACATTATAACCTACAGACATTGCAAAAAGCTTTGCTTGGCCTGACCATTCAGGGTGGGTGTTCTTTTCCAAGTGACCCGAGTTTGGCACTCTGGACATTTTTTAGGGGGGAGGAGGGAGGGAGGGCTGGATAAGGTTGTGTCAGCATCTGAATAACTGCAAACATCCAGCAGGTATCTAAAAGACTTCTTCTTCTGGGTGCCTCTCAGTCCAACTGAACCTGGGGATGCTGAGAAGGTGTTAATGGGGTTGAGATCTTCACAGTGTGAAGCTGTGAGAGAGGCTGGAGTGGGAACTGGTGTTTTTTCTGATGTTGGGTAGGTGGTTGTTCTCCACCACCTGTCATGGGGCCTCTGCCTGTCTCTGCAGCTATGATGGAGTCCCATTTCTGATGCATGACAAGACACTCAGGAGAACAACCAACGTGGAGGAAGTGTTCCCAGGGCGGGCCTACCAACACCCCTCCATGTTCAACTGGACTGACCTGGAAAAGCTCAATGCTGGAGAGTGGTTCCTACAGGTGAGTGTGGGTGTCCTGGAGTCATGGGCATGGCATGAAAGCTCATGCCTCAACCCTCTTTGAGGTGGAGAAGTGTAGATCCATCTCCTTGGTGGAGTGGTCTGAAGTGCAACTAGACCAAGAATCCATGGGTGACACTTGGGTCTGGCCTCTAGTAAACTTAGACTTGGTCTAAAAGACCTTTCTGTGCCTCTTCCAGCATCTGGAATTGGGGGCCTTAATGCCTGGTTGAGAGGACTTCAAGACCCCCAGGAGGGCAAATGTGTTGGAAAGAGAACAGGAAGGACAGAATGGTGCAATCTCTTCCATTTTCTTTATTTTGCTCTCGTTGACAATTGTCCTCACCAAGGAAAACCATGAAATCCAGCCTTCAAACTCCAGAGGAGGAAGAAAAGTTGTGGGCTGGGTTTGACCCACCCTTTGGTGTGTGCAGCCAGATTGCAGGTGGGATTTCTTATGGACAAGCTGTGGCCATGACCCTTTAGGAGAACCTTCACTGTGGTCTGCAGGGAGGGCTGCAGGTTCTGGGACACTCAGTGAGGTTGGAAGGGACCTTAAAGATCATCAGGGGATTCATGCAAGCTTGGAGGGGGCTTGCTGAGGCCTTGCTGCAGTGAGGCAAGCTCAGCCACCACTTCCACGTGCTCACTTGAAGCTCTTCCAGTGCTCACCTGGTGGAAGTTTGAACCCCCTGTAGCTTCCCTGCTGGTCTGATGGAGCTGTTGTGATGGGTAGGGAAACTGAGGCACAGAGCTTCAGCAAGCTGCAAGATGGTCACCTGGGATAGCTGTCAGCATCCCTCACTGTTACCAAGGTGGGGTAGAAAAGGGTCTTCACCTGCCTTGGAGGAGTCTGGGCTTTGTGGCACTGATGCTGGGATGTGCTTTGCTTTCAGAATGACCCTTTCTGGACGGCTGGGTCCCTCTCAAGGTCTGACTACTTGGAAGCTGCCAACCAGTCAGTCTGCAAGCTGGCAGATATGTTAGAGGTGATCAAGGACAACACAACGCTCATCTTGAACTTCCAGGACCTGCCAACAGCTCATCCCTACTACAGCACCTACATCAACATCACCCTGGAAACCCTCCTGGCATCGGGCATTCGGCAGCAGGCTGTGAGTTCTGGGGGGTTGGTGGTGTTTCCAAAATGACTCTCCCTATGGGTTCCCCAGATCCTGAAGTGTCTGGTTTGATCCATTTGACAGTTGATTTGAAATGCCAGTTCGTGCTGAGAAGTTGTGCTGGGGAGGAAGGTGCCTCCAGGCTGGTGGTCCCAGACACCTGAGAACTCCTTGGGCTGGACTCATGGCAGTGGACACAGGAGCTGGAGGAAAGTGAATGTTCCCCAACTCAGCAATAGTGTCCAGTGTGGGACTCACCAGCACACAGAAGATATTGATAAACTGGGACCAGTCCTGCAGAGGTGACCAAACTGGTCAGGGGGCAACTGAGTCTCTTCATCCTGGAGAAGAAAAGATGTAGGAGAGATCTCATAGGAGCTCTCCAGGACTGGCAAGGAGGTTGTTGAGAATCACAGACTGGTTTGGGTTGGAAGGGACCTGAAAGATCATTTAGTTCTAATCCCCCTGCTGAGGGCAGGGACACCTCCCATTGGACCAGGTTGCTCCAAGGCCCATCCAACATGAAGACTTCAAGGGATGGAGCAGCCACAGCTTCTCTGATCAGCAGTGCCAGTGTGTCACCATCCCCACAGACAGGAATTTCTTCCTATGATCTAACCTAAATCTGCTGTTTATCCATTTCAAACTGTTGGCCCTCATCCTATCACTTGTAAAAGATCTCCTGAGAGCCCTTTTCTTGTGTCTGAGTCTTAGACTGAGAGCTGAGACCTGGAGGCCAGTTGTGAGCATCAGAGACCCCTTCCTCTCCCTCTGAGGTGGAATCAGGCTCTGGGCAACCTGGTCTAGTAGGAGATGTCCCTGCCCATTCAGGGGGGTTTGAACTAGATGGTCTTTAAGATCCCTTCCAACCCAAACCAGTCTATGATTTAACTCCTTGCTTTTCCATAATCCTTCTCCCTGGGCTGAGCAGCTGTTGCAGCCTGGACTCAGCTTCTGCTTGGAGGAGAAATGGGTGTCCTGAAGATAAGGGGTTTTCCACCAAATGAGGTCTATGTACCTGCAGAGATCTCTTCCAGACTTCCTTTTCTGCCCCAGAATTGTCCTTACTGGGTTATGCCAAGCACTTGAATTTCCAGCTCAGGCTGCTGAAATCAGAACCTGTCAGCCTTGGTAGGTGTGTCCTCTCTGACCACAAGGTCTAACAGATGCTCATCCAGCCTGCCAGGAGCTCCTTCTGATCCATTCATCTTCTCTGGAGGAGGAGGACCACTTCCCAGGGGTCAGAGGGGCACCAGAGCTGGGGGCTTTGGGTGTCTCTTGGAGAATTGCTCTTCATGACCTGTCTTGGGGAGGAAAGTTGGTCCTTGTGCTTGTCCTGTGCTCTCCCTTGGATATGGACTGGTTGAAACCAGTGTGGTGAGGCTGGCAACTGGAATGTCTGCATCCCTCACAGTCCAGGCACTTCAGCTGTACCAGTTGGGTGCATCTACGTGCACAGACAAGTTCTGCACCCACTTGTGCAGTGACAGGCTCAGGAGGAGCTACTTTCAGCTTCCATCTGACTTTCTAACAACAGCCACTGCCACCCAGCTGCCCATTAACTCTGGGGCTGCAGTCACAGTGTTACCCACAAGCTCCTGCCAGGTTGGCTGGATCCAAGGGGGGACCATGCTGTGTTCTCCTTGGGCATTGGAGAGCAGGAGAGAGATATTTGAAATGCAGATGTGTAGCTGTGAAGTGGTATTTCTCACCCAGGTTTTATGGTTCCCTGTTAAAAATGCAAGTGGCTGCATCTGTGCTGCTCTGATGCTTTGGTAACTGAGTTATTAAACACGGGTTAATCCCATGCCTGGTGGTGCTGCTGAGATCATCTGGTTGGGCCCAGCCTCTGTGTAGCACAAGCCATCAAACTGCCCAGCTTGGTTCCTGTATCCACATCTGGCAGCTGAGCCTGTTACCAGAGATCAACCTGAAGTGTTTTCAAAGTGTGGTGCAGAATCACAGAGTTGTTTGGCTTGGAAAAGACCTTGAAGATGATCACATCCAACCCTTCCCCCAGCCCTGCCAAGGCCACCCCTGCCCCGTGTCCCTCAGCACCATCTCCAGGGCTTGGAAACCCCTCCAGGGATGGGGACTCCCCCCCTGCCCTGGGCAGCCTGGGCCAGGCTCTGACAACCCTTGCCAGGGAGAAATTGTTCCCCAGATCCAACCTCAACCTCCCCTGGCACAACTTGAGGCCGTTCCCTCTTGTCCTGTCGCTTGTTCCTGGGGAGCAGAGCCCGACCCCCCTGGCTCCAACCTCCTCTCAGCAGCTGCAGAGCCAGCAGGTCTCCCCTCAGCCTCCTTTGCTCCAGGCTGGACACCCCCAGCTCCCTCAGCTGCTCCTCACAAGTTCTCCAGCCCCTTCTCCTTCTGCTCCAGCCCCTTCCCCAGCTCCCTTCCCTTCCCTGGACACGCTCCAGCCCCTCAACAGGTATGAACTTAGGAAAACCCTTTCCCTGGGCTGGAGCAGATGTAGCCCTGATAAGAGGCTGAATAAAACCAGGCTTGAACACAGGATCAGAGGCTTCTCCTGTGCATCCTGCCTGCACTGTAAGTTTTCACCTTGTGTCCCCAGTTCTCTCTGTGCCCTGAGGGCAGGGAGGACAGGTTTTCAAGAATACATCAGGTCTCTTCTCATGAGCCCTTGGCCTGACCCCTTGGCATCTCAACGCTCTTCGCCTCCAGGATCGTGTGCATCACAGTCCTTTGGGCTCCAGGATAATCCTGAAATGCATTTGCTTGAGGATGTGGGAGGCTCTAAGTGTCTCCCAGACAGTTTTTCTGACACACCATGGCCATGTCTCAGGTGGTTTTGCTTCTGGCTGGGTGTGAACTGGTTGTCCTGTGTCCCCAGCTGTGAGAAGCACCTTTGCCACAACCACCTTCTGTCTCTCTCCTTCCACAGGTGATGTGGCTGCCGGACACGGAGAGGCAGCTGGTGAGACAGATTGCACCAGGTTTCCAGCAGACTTCTGGCCTCAAGCTGGATGCAGAGCACCTGAGGGAGAAGGGCATCGTGAAGCTCAACCTGCGCTACACCAAGGTCACCAACGAGGATGTCAGGTACAGCCCCCTGTTTGGGCACTGCCTGGTGGCCTCTGTGGAGGGTGTCCATGGCTCTGAGCACCCCTGTGCCCTCTGTGCATCCTTGTCCTGGTCTCATCTCTTCTGATCATCCCATCCTGTCTGCACAGAGGAATCTTTTCAGATGGGTTTGCTCATGAAAGCTTGAGCTGTGCTGTCCCCAACCACCACCTTCCTAGGAGCAAACAGCTGACTCTCCTAATTCCACAGGCTAAATCACAATGATCCCTTTTTGAAATGCAAATCTATGGGATTGGCTGATTCCTACTACACTGTCAGCTCTGGAAAAAGTGAAAGTTTGTCACCCTGAGAACCACCAAGTGTTATTTCACCCTCATTAGCAGCTGCCCTTTGCTTCTGCTCATCTGCTCTGGAGTTGCTAGAACAGAGTTTTGATTCATCCAAGTTCTGGATGTGCCTTCAGAAATTTCTCTTTGCAGAGAATTCACCCATTTCCTGACTATCCTTTGTCAGCTATTGAGGTCTCCTCTTTAATGAGGTTGGCACATTGTGGGGTTCCCCTCCTTCTGCCTGAGCCTGTATTTGAGCCATGTGTCACCTCCCAGCTTTGCCCCTTTCTCAGGAAGGCTCCATTGTCTCTAGGAAAGCTTCTCTGTGTTTTTAAAGCTTGATTATTTTTTTTTTCCCCCTGAAGAAAGACTTAAAAAATGAAACAGGCTTGCAGAAGAAAAGTACTTTCCATGGATTTTTTGTGCTCTGCCTTTGGGCTGGGAGTAGGGAAGGGGCTGAGCCCACAAGTGGCTGAGAACTTGGTCCTTATTTAGCCTGACCCAGTGGTGGCTTTTCATGGCTGCCAACAACAAGTCTAGTTGCTTATCCTTAAAACCAAGTCTGTGCTTTACCTGCAGGATAATTCCTGCCTCTTTTTCTCCTACCTGTTTGCTCTCTTTCATGGAGAGGACCAAAGGCCAACTCTCATCTATGCCAGATCATCAGCCCTTATCCCTAATCAATCCCATCTCAGCTGTCTCCAAAATCAGACCTGCCACTGGGGTGTTTCTTGTCATAGAATCAGACTGGTTTGGGTTGGAAGAGACGTTTAAAGATCATCCTGTTCCAACCCCCTGCATGGGCAGGGACACCTCCCAGCAGCCCAGGCTGCTCCAAGCCCCATCCAACCTGCCCTTCAACACCCCCAGGGATGGGGCAGCCACAGCTTCCCTGGGCAACCTGGGCCAGGCTCTCCCCACCCTCATAGTGAAGAATTTATTTCTCAATCCTCCCTCTTCCAGTTTTGATCCATTCCCTGCCTTCTCTTGTCACTCCCTGCCCTTGTCCCAAGCCCCTCCCCAGCTTTCCTGGAGCCCCTTCAGGCACTGGAAGCTGCTCTCAGGTCTCCCTGGAGCCTTCTCTTCTCCATGCTGAACACCCCAACTCTCCCAGCCTGGCTCCAGAGCAAAGCTGCTCCAGCTTTCCCATCATCTCCATGGCCCTTCTCTGGACTCTCTCCAACAGCTCCAGGTCCTTCTGGTGTTTGGAGCTCCAGAGCTGTTCCCAGCTCTGCAGGGGGGGTCTCATGAGGGGAGGTTCTTGAACTCTGAAGGCCTCATGGTGTCCAGTCAAATCACAGAACATCAAGTTTGGAGGGGACCTCAAAGTTCATCTGGCCCAACCTTTCTCAGTAAAAGCATGGTCTAGACTAGATGGCCCAGCACTCTGTCCAGCTGGATCTTGAAAGTGTCCAATGTTGAGGAATCCATCACTTCCCTGGGGAGATTATTCCAATGGCTGATTGTTCTCATTTTGAAAAATGCACTTGTGTCCAACTGTAATCTCCCCAGAATTAACCTGTGCCCATTACCCTTCATCTTTTCCATGTGACTCCTTGTAAAATGGGAATCTCCATCTTCTTTGTAGCCACCCTTCTAGTACTGGAACATGGTGGTGGGGTCTTCCCTAACCCTTCTTTTCTCCAGGCTGAACAAACCCAGTTCTCTCAGCCTCTCCTCACATACCAGGCTTCCCAGCTCTTGGATCATCTTCATGGCCCTTCTCTGGACTCTCTCCACCCTGCCCACATATTTTTTGTAGAGGGGGAATAAAAACTGAACACAGGATTCCAGGTGTGCAGGACTGCAGCAGAAGCTGGAGCAGGCTCAACAAATCCCTGAGATAACACAGTTTCCTCAGTCCTACCAAAAATTAATATCTGGATGGAACATTCCTGCACCTACCTCTGCTCCCAGGAATCCTTTAGCCTTTGGAGCAGCTTGGTCATGTTGTGGGTTTGGTGTTGTCCTTGTGGAGCAACCTCCCACCTCAAAGGGCTTTGCTGCTATTGAATGGCAAGGATTTTCTCTGTGCTGCTCATGCAAGGGAGATTAGTGATGCTTCTGCTTCCTAGATAAGGAAACAGAGCAATGAATGCAAATCAGATGGGTGCAGGGGATCCATGAGCAGTGCCTGGTTTGCTGCTGGCAGCTCCTGTAGCCCAGAATGCAGTTTTAACATCTTGGAAAATTACCTGGGCAGACTGGAAGCTGTGATGCTGTGATTGTCCCCAAAACAGGGGCATGGCAGTTGCAGGAGCTGATGTTGGAAATGTGCTCTGACAGTTTGCAATGAAGTCAGTTGCCTCTGAAGTGGTGCAGGTGTTGGAGCCAGGTGTTCATTTTGCAGTGACACGATGAGGCAGTGGGTACAAACACCTCCCGTGCCCATCGTTTGGGAGGAAGCACCTGAGATGGGCTGTGGCCTGGGTCAGAGAGCATCCCAGAGGTGAAGAAAGCTGTCAAGTTCAAACCATCTGATGGCAACCCCCTTGGGTTGCTTAGGAAGTGACCGTGGCCTGGTAAAAAAACCCTATTTCACGTGATTCCAACCCAATAAATCTAGTTGTGTGATTAGTGGTGGGTGGTGGCAAGAGCCCTCCTCTGGGAGGAGGGGGTCTGATGGTGGCTGGGGGATTCATGTCTCACTCTGTCTGCTGGCAGGGACTATGCCATGGCCAACCTGAGTGTGAATCTCTACACTGTGAATGAGCCCTGGCTGTTCTCCATCCTCTGGTGCACTGGTGTCCAGTCGGTCACCTCCGACAGCTCCCACCTCCTTCGCAAGGTGCCTTTCCCCATCTGGCTCATGGTAAGCAGGGGGCTTGGGAAGGGGCTGGGACCCCCCTTGGTGGGCTGGGGAAGCAGTGGAAGGGGTGTAGAGGTGGCCATTGGCTGGATATGGCTGGTGGGTTTCTCCAGGAAGGTTTGGTTGGGTTCAACTTGCTCTTGGGCTTGAGGGTTTTGCCCCTTTGTGTGCCTGAGCCCTGAGCTGGGAACTGCTGAATGTTCCTCTTGCCTTCCTTCCAGTGGCCTCATCTCCCCCCAGAGACACTCTGGGAGCCTTGGGCACTGCCTTGCATGCAGTGCAGTGTGTTGGGTCCTGCACTTGGGCCACAACAACCCCAGGCAACGCTCCAGGCTTGGGGAAGTGTGGCTGGAAAGGTCTCTCCAACACAGGCATCCATCCTGTCATCCCCACCTCACAGAGCTGGCTCAAAGGTTTTTGAAACAAATGCCAAATTTAAGCTTCAGTCTCTCCTCTATTCCCTTGGAAGTTTTGTAGCCAGGTGCTCTGAAGGATTAGTGCTGAGTGACCTGGGTGGGAACTGAGCTTTCATGGTTAGGCTGGTGGGAGGCTGAAATCATCTGAGATCTGTGCTGGAGCCACTTCTCTGCAGGAGCTTTGCAGGGACTGAAAAAATCCAATTTCAAGTTATTCAACCACTGTGAAGCCCTTAATGCCTGCAAAAGTCAAGGTGAAAACATAATTACAGAGAAAGAAAAAGAAACAAGAGCAACAAACCATCAGCTTCTCTGCTGGCATGAGAGGATGGACAAATCCAACAAGGGAGGTGGTGGAGTCACCATCCCTGGATGTGTTGAAGGGTGGTTTGGATGTGGTGTTGGTGGATGTGGTTTAGGGGAGAACATTGCAGAGTAGGAATGATGGTTGGACTGGGTGATCCCAAGGGGCTTTTCCAACCTGAAGGGTTCTATGATTCTATGCCCCATTGAACCCACATGATTTTTCCATTTTCCAACCACCTTTCCAGATCTGGTGAGCAGCAGTTGAGTTGCAGAAGAAGCAGGGACACAAGGTGAACCAGCAAACCTGGCTTTTGTGTTTTGGCCAGGCTGCATAATTAGCTTTTTGCCTGTTTTTAATATCAAATGAGGACAACTTCTTTCACTTGATGATCTTCAGAGGCCCCTTCCAACTGACAGTCTGTGATGCTGTGATACTTTATGCATTATCTATTCTCTTTCTTTAACAAAATGTTGCTTGTGTGCATTAGTCCTGGTGATGGTGGTTGTGATGGATGTGTCTGATATGAAATCAGAACCCTTCTCCTGGTTGGGGCTAGACCAGGCTTGGAACAGGAGGAATTCATTAGCATCACTGGTGGCTGTCCTGGGTAGGCACATTCTGAGCATCATGAGGAGTTGATTATTATCATTACTTGATGTTCTTTACTGATTTTCCTCTTTTCTGGCCAGCATAAATCTCAATGTGAAGTAGTGTGTTTCTGTCCTGGCTTCAGATGTTTGGTTTAGCTGGGCTTAGTGTGACCAGCAGGGTCAGAGAGGTGATTCTCCCCCTCTACTTTCCTCTGATGAGACCCCCCTGCAGGGCTGGGTCCAGTTCTGATGTCCTCAGCACAGGGACATGGAGCTGTTGGAGCAAGTCTAGAGGAGGCCCTGGAGATGCTGGGAGGGCTGGAGCAGCTCTGGAGCCAGGCTGGGAGAGTTGGGGTGTTCAGCCTGGAGAAGAGAAGGCTCTAGGGAGACCTTATTGTGGCCCTTCAATGCTTTAAGGAGGCTGATGAGAAAGGTGGGGACAGACTTTTTAGCAGGGCCTGTAGTGACAGGGCAAGGGGAGATGTTTTTAAACTAAAGGAGGGGAGATTTGGATTAGGTCTAAGGAAGAAAGGTTTTAGGATGAGGGTGGTGAGACGCTGGCCCAGGTTTCTCAGAGAAGATGGAAAGATGCCCCATTCCTGGAAACATCCAAAACCAGGTTGAATGGAGCTCTGAGCAACCTAACCTAGTGGGAGGTGTCCCTGCCCATGCAGGAGGGTTTGAACTAGATGAATTTTAAAGTCCTTTCCAACCCAAACCCTTCTGTGACTCTGTGATGATCAAAGCCACTTGGACTGGCAAATAGAAGCAGAGCTACTGATGCCTTAAAGGACAGAGATGGAGAAGAACCTGCTCAGCATGAGGACCATGCAGGGCAGCTAACACGAGCACTCCAACTGACCCTGCATGTCTGCTGTGCCATGTGTGTGTATTTCTGTGTTTTCCCCCAGCTTTGGGTGTCCAAGCAGCTTCTAAAACCTCCCCTCAATGTGCAGCTGAGGTCGGAAACCTCCTGGCCCACGAAGCTCTGAGAAAATGTCAGCACTCCAAAGGAGGGAGAGTTTAAAATCGTTCCTTTTGGCAGTTTTTTTTCCTGATCACATCATTTTGGGTCACAGACCCAGCATTTAGGCATGTCAGAAGTGATTTACAGGTGACCCCTGCAGCTCTGGGGTTTTCTTTCTGCACTGGTGGGAACTTCAGCCACGTGTGATCTCTCTGTGATTGTCCAAACCAGAAAGTTCAAGGTCTGCTTCTCTGTTGTTTTTCTTGTCTTCCAGCCTCCAGATGAGTACCACCTGATCTGGATCACGTCTGATCTCATTTCCTTTATCATAATTGTAGGAGTTTTTATATTCCAGAAGTAAGTAGCATGGTGACAACCTGCCTCTCCTGTATCTGTGGCCTGTGGTTTTGTCCAGAGAGTGGGGCTGGAGGTGGGAGGGGGGAGCATTGGGTTCCTCAGGCCCTGGGATTGCAATAGCAGGGAAATGGAGTTAAAAACCCCTACGAAGCCTTCCAACAATCACCCCACTCCTGAGGTGTGACGTTGAGTTGGATGAAGTTGCTGCTTTGCAAGGAGAATGAGAGATGTCAAAACAGCAGCCAGAGAGACACCTTGCTCTGCTCAGCAAGGCATGTGGGAGAGAAACTGTAAATGCTCGGGGGAAATGGATGTTGAGAAAGAGATTAAAATGCTTGAAAAGGAAGAAGAAGAGATGTTTTGAGATTCCACCATGATAGTCTTCAGAAAGAGCCTGTTATCATTTTCTGAAATCAGGTCATTCCCATTTGAATGAAGAAATGAAAAGGTGAAGATTTTTCAAGCTTCTTATTTTGATGCACAGAGAAAGTATCTCAGTTTTCTAAACCTGAAAGGTTTTTTTTCCTTGCCCAGCTTGCAGCCATCACAGCTTGATCCCCAGAGGACTCTGCAGCCTACAGAGCAGAGCTCAGCACCCAACCCGAGTCCTTGGTGCTCAGCACCTCCATTAGCTGGAGCTTCTTGCTGAAGGGAAGGCAGAGACCTCAGCTGCAAACCTGCCAGCCCTTATATTCACTCATGGCTGCACAAGTGCCACCCCAGGGAGGGACCTGATTTACCTGCCAGGCCACCTGGAAGGAGCCAGCAGGGCAGCTCCTGCCCTGTGAAGCCACTTGAGGTTTTAAGGGGCACTTTTGAAAAGGTTGCAGAGCAACTTCAGTTTCCATCACCTTCCCTTGGATCGGTCATAGGGAGGTCAGGGGAAAACATCTGAGCAGGCAGCTGTGTGGAGGCTGGGAAACCAGTGTGGCCCCAAGTCCCTCTGGGCACCCACCCACGGCACAGACATCTCCCCCCAAACTCCTGCTTCATTAGAATCACAGAATTGCTGGGGTTGGAAAAGCCCTTTGAGATCATCCCATCCAACCATTAACCCAGCCCTGCCAAGGTCACCACATCTACACAGCTTTGAAAGGGGGACTCCCCCCCTGCCCTGGGCAGCCTGGGCCAGGCCCTGACAACCCTTGCCAGGGAGAAATTGTTCCCCAGATCCAACCTCCACCTCCCCTGGCACAACTTGAGGCCGTTCCCTCTTGTCCTGTCGCTTGTTCCTGGGGAGCAGAGCCCGACCCCCCTGGCTCCAACCTCCTCTCAGCAGCTGCAGAGCCAGCAGGTCTCCCCTCAGCCTCCTTTGCTCCAGGCTGGACACCCCCAGCTCCCTCAGCTGCTCCTCACAAGTTCTCCAGCCCCTTCTCCTTCTGCTCCAGCCCCTTCCCCAGCTCCGGGGCCCTTCCCTGGACACACTCCAGCCCCTCCATGTCCTTCTTGTCCTGAGGGGCCCAGAACTGACCCCAGGATTCGAGGTGTGGCTTCTATGTTTGCTCAGAGGGAGGAGAAGTCACAGCTGTGTGGACTTTGCAATAGATGGACTCTCTTTCTGCCCAAATTGAATTTCTTCTGGTTTGGAAGAGGTTTGGTGGAGCAGGGAAAGCGGAAGCAGAGGAGG